TATATATATATATATAATATACAAATATATAATATATATTAATGATAAAAAACAGCAACTCTAGTCACTGCAGATCCCAGAATACCACACTAACCCTTCCTCCAGTGCCTCTCATCCTCAGCCTAGAAACTACAGACGTCTGGTCCCACCTTCTTTCTTGTTCAACCTCTCTCTCTTCTTCACAAGAAGCACTTGTGAACTCTTAAGGAGGCCACACTTAGTCTCAATTCCAAGACTTTACAAATGCCCTCTACCCAGAATATTCTTCCTTCCTTCCCCCTTCTATTGAGTTACAACTCATGTGACAGCCCAAAGCCCACTCTCTTTTCCAGGCTGCTCCTGACTGCACCAGCATAAATCATATAGTTCTGTATTTAATTCCAATGAATGAAACTATGAACTGAAATACCTTGACAAGCTATGTTAGTGATGCCAAAGCATCTTCTTCCCCCATTGCTTAGTTCTCACAAAAGCAAAGAGGCAAAGAGGCAGGTCTTGGGGCTCACTTCATGTAGAAGATACAACCAAAGCTTGGAGAAGCCAAGTGGTTTGCACAAGCTGCACTGCCCACATCTGGGAAAGCTGGCACCAGGACCAGGCTCCTCATACTCATCCCACCCAGTTCCTTTTCTTTGGCCACATTAACACATAATCTGATACCTGCCTTTAACTAATTTATGATCTTCTGGGATAATACACTTTTCCTATTTTTATGAGAAATTAAGACAACTCAACATGAGATTGACAGTTGCAGACTTGACCAAGCATCAGAAACACTTATGAACTTAAAGAAAACCCCAAAAACCAATACTACAGAAATTCAGAACTCATAACAAACTAACTGAATCAGCATCACTCTGGGCATAAGAATCTATATATTTTTAAAAGGGAATTCTGATCAGCAATTAGAGCCAAGAACCTCTTCATTACATGACTAACTGTGAAATGAGTAATGCAGCCTGTGGGCCCTGTGAAGAGAAGGAAATGGGCATGAGCAGAGGCTGTGAAGGAGGGGCCGTTGAAAGGGTTTTGAAAGGAGGCGGGCTTGAATCGACAGAGAGCAAGCAAGGGTGATTTCAGGCCATGCGGCAGTAAAAGTGAGGTGTGTTCATGAGATTGAATATTTCTGAGCAGAGGCATGATCTAAAAACAGCAGGAGTATAAATGAATGAAATAAAGAAAGCAGGCTTTGAGGAGAAAAACTAGTGGATGAATACAAAGGGCAAGAGACAGGGGACCAGGGGCATGGTGCTCGAGCCACCCGATAGACCTCGAGTGTTCCATGGGTGCCCTCACCTTGGGGTGGATAATCTGAGACCACCTTGAGCTGATTCTATGTTCTGTGGTCTTTTTCTAAATCGCAGTCCTATGAAATTCACCCTCACTCACAGTCTTTGTCTTTGTCTGTCTTGTGTGCTTAGCACTTGACTAGACTCTTGTGTTCCTTGGAGGTGGGATGGGGGTCTCGTTTATCTTTCTATCTTCTATTTCAGTGGTTTTTCCATCAAGGGCCATTTTGCCACTCCCCCACTCACTATTCACTATCCACCAACTTGGGAACCTCTAAATGAGAATAACAGTTGCTCGAGGGGTCCCAGGATATGGAACCCTGAAAGAAAAGAGGACTGGACCAATGGATTATAGCGTGTTTTTCTTGCTATTTAACAGAGAGATATTCATTTACTTTGTGTCAGGATCCCTGTTAGACGTGGGACTATTTGTATGGTCTTCCTTTTTTCTTTTGGTGTTTATCTATACAAGATAAGCAATCCCTCAGAGATAGCAAAGGGACCAGTGGGTGGGGGGTGGAAGTGCATGAGAGGGGAGAAGGTGGGGGAGGTGAGTGGTGAGCCAATAATGATGGGGGCAGGGGAATAGTACGGGCTCTAAAATTGATGGTGAGGAGGGTGTAGCTTTTCTAGTCATGTTTGATCAATCAAATTATATCTGAGAGGAATTACTGAGAGGTGAACAATGGGTAAACATGATAGTTTAGGAGGAAAGAAAAAAGAAAAAGAGGAAAGAAGAAGAAAGAAAAAATATCGATATATATAGATATGTATATATGTAAATATATAAGTATAGGTGTATTTGTTTATATGTGTGTATATATGCAAATGAAACAAGGGCCTCTACTTAAATCTTACCTCAGTACAAGAATGGTTTGTTCTAATAATGTGGCATTGTATGATACTCACCTTCTTGACATGATAACTGAAGACAAAATGGGTGCATAAGTAAATGTGTTGAAAAAAGCTGATGGTGCCTGGCTATTAAAAGATATAGCATCTGGGGTCTTAAAGACTCATAGTTAAACAAGTGGTCATCTACAGGAAAGCAACAAAACCCACATGGAAGAAGCACACCAGCTGGTGTGATCATGAGGTGTCCATGGGAAAAGGTATCAGAAATTCAAAATCAAGCAACCAAATCGATGTGAAGGGGTATGGATTTGGAGGAGACCCACTGTAAGATAGTTGGACAATCCCTCTCAGAAGGGTCACACATAAGGGACAATAAATCCAGGGTGCAGTATAGCACTGATGAAACACATAACTATCCTCTAGTTCTTTAATATTTCCTCCCCTTACTATTATGGTTTTTATTTGTTTTACCTCATTAATCACGTTAGACTTGCATATGTTCATTTGTATAATTAAGATCATTCAATACATGAAAGCCAAGATAGATTGCCCTTCAGAAACAGTAACAGGAGTAATGGGTCCCTGAGGTACAGGAAGCGAGGCAGAGTGTGTGTGTGGAGGGGGGCGGGTAGCGGAATGGGGAGCTGATAGCACTGATGGCTGCATAACCCCACTCGAGGGGAGTGAACAACAGAACTGTGTGTGAATGGATGTCTTAGATGGTGTAAGAAATGGCCAATAGATAAATCAAATAAGGGTTCCTGGGGGCTAAGGTGGGGGAGGGAGGGGATAAAGGAGCTCAAGAAGAAAGAAAATGATTTTAAACTGATTGTGGTAGCAACACTGCTTGATGTGCTTGAACTATGGATTGTTATGATATCTGTAAGAAAGAGCTTCCAATAAAATGATTTTAAAATTAATTAATGGATCAGAAAGAAAAATAAAAGAGTTGCTTGGGGGCAGAGCCTTTTTGCTCTTCATGCTAGACAGCTCTGAGAAAACTGCCTGGCCCTCGCTGTGGTGAGGGTGCCCTGTGCTGCCTGCCCTTACCTTGTACTCCAGGGAGAGCAGCGTCTCTGTCTTCGACGTCCAGCTCCACTTGTGAACGACATAGCCCTGATGGTCATTGGTAGTCCCCCCGTCCTCATCCAAGACCAAGACGTATGGACAGCTAGGAGAGAACGGAAGTCACAGTTGCTGCTGAGCCATGGAAAGAAGATCTCATCACTACAGGCAGGGCTCTGACACTTTGTCCCTACCTGGAGGAACCTTAGGGTCCTGTAGGTTGTCTTGCTTCCTTGGCCTAGTACGATCTGAGGCCCTTCAATACTTGCTGCTCCTGGGGGACTCTCCAGGATGGGGGGAGAGGCGGGTCTTAGGGAGATGGTGGATACTTAGGCCAACCCCAAGAGGGGAAGAAATGGGATTTGTTCTGGGGTCATAAGCATACAAGCTCTCAGGGCATTAAAACAGGAACTGGACCATCCATAATATAAAAGCAACTCATTGCTTCTAAGCTCCTGATGAAAGGTTGAAAAAAAAACAACAGCACCCACCAACTTTTGGCTAGTACGACTATGTGTTTCTCTTAAAAGACTCTACAGAAGTGGTGTCCATAGCCTTGCCTCCACCCATTCCTGGTAGAGGACATTTCTCCACGAGAGAAGGCCTCCAAGAATCTAACCAACCATCAAGATCTTGATGATATGCTTCAGCACTGGGTGAGGTAGCATGGAAGTACCAGGGAGAGTAGGGCTTGGGGAGCTGCCCTTCTCACTGGTTGCAATGTGAATCCAACAAGCAAGGGCCTGACCTCCTAATGCCCACTTCTCCACAGGCTTTGCCTCAATCTTTTCTCCTTGTCTTTCTCCCCCTCTGTATGCTGAAGACCCCGTACTTTCTCCAGAGACTTCTAGTTGTCACCTAGTCCTCTCCTCTGCCACCCCCAGAGATATTTCCATGGGAGAAGAGTTCCCACAACCCACTCACCGAGTTTTTGAATTGTACTGAACACAGCCCTGGCCTTCAGCGTTGAACAAAGCCAGGAAGAAGTTGGGTGTGTCATTAAAGAGCCAGGTAATGGTTCTCCCTCGGCAGCACGTTGGGATCTGACACATGGCGATGTTTCCGGAGGGATAGCTGTTCGAAATGGTCAAGTGGAACTAATAGAAAACTCCCCAGGTTTTGTGCTCAGGTGCCCCATGGGAAGCAAGTCTACAGGTCAAAGTGTTACTCCCTATTGGATACATGTTTTCTCCTCTTCAATGACCCTCCCTGTACTTCGCATAAGTAACAATTCAAATAAATGATAATGGAATGCAACCACACCTTGAGTGCGTTCATATATTTCTATTCCTTCAGTTCCTTACACCAGCCCTGTAGTAGGAAGTCCTCATGTTATCTCCATCTCATAGATAAGTATGGTTTCTTTAGGTCTGAGGAATTTCTTGAGGGACAGACTCATTGGTGCTAAAATCAGGAAAGTGTTGGGCGACAGGATGAGTTGGTCACCCTACAGATGAAGAGCCCAGGGGGCAGAGAAATGACGTGCCCAACATCACAGAGCCAGACGCTGAACTCTGAGTCCACTGATACTGCTAACACTGTCAGGCTACCTTACTTAAGGCCAATCTAGAAGGACAGGCAATGTCTCCCTGTTCCTTTCCTATTAAGGAGGTGCCAGGAAGCATTTGTCCTGCTTCACAGGGCCACGGTGCTGGTAGCTACTGTCTTGTATGTAGGGATTACCTTATATAGAAGACATTCCATGGTTGTTAGCAGTGGGATTCACCACCCTAAATCCTTGCCTGACAGTTTGAAAATAGTCACATGCTTTTCATGAGCGCTGCTCTTCCTTTTAGCCTGCTCAGTGTACAGATCCCCTGGTACAGGGATCCACTCTTGAAACATGAGAAAAACATAACCTTTAGAGTCCCACAGACCTGGTTTGCAATCTCCACACCAACCTCTTGAGCTGTATGACTGGAGCAATTGCTTCCCCCAAGCCTCAGAGGCACGTACCTTGTGAGAATTCAGTGAAGTCCACTATCCGCAGGGCCCAGCAAAAGCGGCCATGATCACTGAGCATCGCTGTGATGGTACAGTCTGCCAACCTTCTCCACACAGCTTCCTTGCCCTCTACCTCTCCACCGTCAGAAGTGGTTTCTGACTCTTCCACACTTCCTCACCCGTGTGCTTCTCAAACAGCACCGAGTGTTTACAATGGTCTCTAGGAATGCAGGTCCTTGTGGGCAGGGCTGTGTGTCTTTCGCATTGTATGCCAAGGGGATGGAGCTCAGTCAGACTCTGTAAAGCACTGAGCTCTGAGGCTACGCTTGAGTTGTGCCCCATTTGGTCTATCCATCCTGGTCTACTACTAAATTATGTAACCCCTCCTAGGCTCTGCTTCCACATATGAAAAATTGAGATAAAAGTAATGCTTGGTGACAGTTCCAAAAAAACTCTCAAACTCTGCTCCTCCACTCAAGAAACAGCCTAACAAAGAGTGTCAGAATCTATTTTCTCTGGACACTGGAATCTAATTAAAAAACAAAACTAAAAAATTTAAAGCAACTAGAAGTGTGCTTAATAAGGGAGCATTGCAGATTTCTTTCTAAACTATTTATCATCCCTCATTTCCTAGTCCAGAGTGAACCATTTCTGTTGTGGCCTGGTGGTGCCAGAGAGAATGTGGTGGTAGGTCTTGGTTTGTCTAGTGTCTTCCCAAGGGATCAGCTCACAGGCTTGCCTCTTGTTCATCTCTCTCAGAACTTTCTCAGCATAGGAAGAGCCTCCTCCGTGATGATTGTTTAAAGCTCTTAAGAGTATGTACTCATTACAGACACCTGAGGCAAGAATAACCCACTGGGCAAGCAGGAGACACGTAGAAATTAAGAGAATGGGGTTGGAGATACATCCAGGCAGGAAGAGCTTTGAACCCTCCCAGGTATTTCAGGGAATCTACAAGGCTATGTCCATGACTGAACTAGAAGCATGCTAAGAAAAAAGCCAAGAAGACCCTAAGCTTTCACATCTGGTTGATCTTTAGGCTCTGTACAGCAGAGAGTGAAAGCTAAGGCTGAGTTGTGGTGCTTACCTGGCTAAACATTGCAGGAATGCCTCAATGCTAAGTCAATCTACAAAAACTCTCACTGGCATCCAGTCGGTTAGAAGCTCAGCACTTAGCCACTAAACCACCCGGACTTCTTGATGTATCTATAGATTTTTAAGTGCCCTCTAGTCGGTTCTGACTCATAGTGACTCTGTACAACAGAAGTAAACACTGCCTGGTCCATGAGCATAGATTGTGGATCCAAGCAAAATGAAATCCTTGACCAGCTTCAATCTTTTCTCCATTGATCATGTTGTCTATTCATTCAGATGTGAGGATTTGGGTTTTCTTTCTTTTTTCCATTGAGGTGTAATCCACATTGAAGGCGGCCATCCTTGATCTTCAGTAGCAAGTGCTTCAATTCCTTCTCACTTTCAGCAAGCAAGGCTGTGTCATCTGTATATTGTAGGTTGTTAATAAGCCTCACTCCAATTCTGAGGCCACAATCTTTTTCATATAATCTAGCTTCTCTGACTATTTGTTCAGCACACAAATTGACTAAGTATGGTGAGAGGATACAACCCTGATGCATTCCTTTCCTGATTTTAAACCATGACTGCATGGTTTCCTTGTTCTGTTCACACAACTGCCTCTTGATCCATGTACAAGTTCTGCATGAGCACAATGAAGTAAGTATTCTGGAATTCCCATTCTTTTCAAGGCTATCCATAGTTTGTTAGGATCCTCACAGTCCAATGCCCTGGCATAGTAAATAAAATACAAGTAAAGATCTTTCTGGTAGTTTTTGCTTTGAACCAAGATCCATCTGACATCAGCAATGATATCCCTTGTTCCATGTCCTCTTCTGAATCTGGCCTGAACCTCTGGCAGCCACCTGTCAATGGACTGCTGCAACCTTTGTTGGATGATCTGCAGCAAAAGTTTACTTGCATGTGATCTCAATGATATTGTTCTATAATTTGAACTATCTGTTGAGTCACCTTTCCTTCGATTCGGTACAAATACTTATCTTTTTCAGTCTGTCGGCCAAGTAGCCATCTCCCAAGTTTCCTGGCATAGATGAGTGTTTCCAGTGCTTCATCAGCTTTTTGAAACATTTCAATTGGTATTTCCTCAATTCCTGGAGCTTTCTCTCTTTCCTTTTTTTTTTCTTTCTTTCTTGATTAATGCCTTCAGTGCAACTTGAACTTCTTCCTTCAACATCATTGGCTCTTGCTCATATGCTACCTCTAGAAATGGTTAGATGGCAACTCATTCTTTTTGGTTCAGTGACTCTGTGTATTCGTTCCGTCTTCTTTTGCTGCTTCCTGCAGAGTTCAGTATTTTGCCCATAGAATCGTTCAACATTGCAACCTGAGGAGGCTTGAATTCTTTTCTTGAAGTTTTTCAGCTTGGGGTATACTAAGTGTATGCTTCCCTTTTGGGTTTCTCAATATACGTCTTTGCATATTTCATTATAATATTTGACTGTCTTCTTGAGCTGCCCTTTGACCTTTTCTATTCAGCTCTTTGATGTCATTTCTTCCCTCTGCCTTAGCTCCTCTACGATTAAGACCAAGTTTCTGAGTCTCCTCTGGCACCCACCCTGTTCTTTTCCTTCTTGTCTTTTTAATGACGTTTGCTTTCTTCGTGAATTTTGTTCTTGACATCCTCCACAGCTCATCGGGTTTTCTGTGATAGTGTTCAATGCAACAAATCTGTTCTTGAGATCTTCTTGAAATTCAGGTGTGATAGACTCAAGCTTCCATTTTTTTACTCTTGTGGACTTATTGTAATTTTCCTCATCTTCAATCTGAAATTACACATGAGCAATTGGTGATCTGTTCTACACTCAGCCCCTGGCCTGGTTTTAGCTGCTGATATTGCGCTTCTCCATTGTCTTTTCTGACAAATGTAGTCAATTTGATTTCTGTGTATTTCTTCTGGAGATGTCCATGTGTATAGTTGCCATTTGTGTTGTTGAAAACGTGTTGGCTGTGTGCAAGATGTTTGTCTTGCAAAATTCTATCATGCAATCTTCATATTTGTTTTTATCATCAAGATAATAGTTTCCATCCGCTGTTTCTTTCTCCTTTTTTTTTTTCCTCCACAGGACTATTTAATGGTGCAACCCTAAACTTGATTTTTTTCCTCCTTTAGTTTCTTTGGTTTGAAAAATGTTGACTGTGTTCTTCCAATTTGCTTTTCTAACTATGGATTTTTTACATATTTCATTATAATACTTCACATTGTCTTCTTGAGCTGCCCTTTGAAACTTTCTGCTCAGCTCTTTTGCTTTATGATGCTCTAAGTAGTCTCTGGTCAAGAGCAAGTTGGTGTGTCTCATCTGACATCCACTTTAGTCTTTTCTTTCTTTCCTGTCATTTTATAGACTTTTTCCTTTCTTCGTGTATGATGTCTATTGATGTCAACCCATAATTCAGCTGGCCTTCAGTCGTTAGTGTTCAATGCATCAATCTGTTTCTGAGATGATCTCTAAATTCAGATACAATATACTCTAGGTTGTATGTTAGCTCCCATGGACTTGTTTTACTTTTCTTCAGCTTCAACTTGAACTTACATATGGTCTGTTCTGGTATCAGTCCTAACCTTGTGTGGCTGATGATACTGAGCTTCTCCATATCTCTTTCCTGTGTAGTCATTCCATCTGGCAACTTCTATTCATGTTGTTCAGAAAGATATTTTCGGTGAAGAAGTTGGTCTTGAAAAATTATATCAATGAGCCCCAAATAAAATGATTTTTTTAAAAGAAAAAAAAAAACCTAAACATTTAAATATTCAAAAAAATAAATAAAAAAATAAAACTCCCAAAAAAAAAAAATTATATCACGCCATCTTCAGCTTCAGTTCCATCACCAAGGCCATACTTTTTCTCTTTATTTTCAATATTCTCATTCCAGTTACAGGTAATTATCAATGTATACTGATTGGCTTTCTCATCAATTTCAGACTGAAGAAGTTGGTAGAAATTCTTTAATTTCATTGGTTTTAATGACTGGGCATAAATTTGAATAATAGGCATATGACCTGGTCTTCCTTGTATGCATACAGATGTTATCCTAGCATA